AACCCAGGAGGCGGAGGTTACAGTGAGCAGAGATCACACCACTGCACTCCAGCCCGGGCGACAGAGCGAGACACTGTCTCAAAAGAAAAGAAAAAAGAAAATGGGATGCGGATTAGCTACTACCTTTCATTAATTTCTTTTTTCTTTTTTTTTTTGAGACAGAGTCTGTTGCCAAGACTGGAGTGCAGTGGTGCAATCTGGGCTCACTTCAACCTCCACCTCCTGGGTTCAAGCAATTCTCCTGCCTCATCCTCCCAAGTAGCTGGGATTACAAGCATTCGCCATCATGCTCAGTTAACTTTTATATTTTTAGTAGAGACAGGATTTCACCATGTTGGCCAGGCTGGTCTCGAACTCCTGAACTCAAGTGATCCACCTGCCTCGGCCTCCCAGAGTGCTGGGATTACAGACATGGGCCACCATGCCCAGTTTTTTTTAAATTTCAACTTGTATTTTTAATTTTTATTTTTATTTATTTTTGGGACAGAGTTTCACTCTGTTGCCCAGGCAGTGGCGTTAACTTGGCTCACTGTAACCTCCGCCTCCTGGGTTCGAACGATTCTGCTGCCTCAGCCTCTGGACTACAGGCACCTGCCACGACATCCAGCTAATCTTTGTATTTTTAGTAGAGATGGAGTTTCACCATGTTGGTCAGGCTGGTCTTGAACTCCTGACCTCAGGTGATCCGCCCACCTTGGCCTCCCAAAGTGCTGGGATTACAGACGTAAACCACCATGCCTGGCCTAATGTCAACTTTTATTTTAAATACAGGGCGTACATGTGCAGGTTTGCTACATGGGAATACTGCATGATGCTGAGGCTTGGGGTACAGATCCCGTCACGCAGGTAGCAAGCACAGTACGCAAATGCCCATGATTTCCTAAGTTGCAGAAAAAATCAGGCTAACAAAGGCCCTACATTGAAAGGTCCTATGGGCAGATGAAAGATAACTAGATGGAGATCATCCCCAGGAAGAGGTGCCTAGTTCTTCCCTGTATTGATTTCAACAGCACTTGATATTCGTAAACATAACTCTGAACAGACTGACTCGGAAAGGAGCTGTTGACCTGGAAGTGACGTCCATGGAATCTGAAAACATAATGAGCTGGTTCATCAAAGAATCTTCTTTTCCTTTTCCTCCCCAACAGGTTTAATTGTGGAACTGGGGTTGCCATCATCGTAAGTGAGACCAAAATCAAACTGGGGGGCTGGCACACAGTTATGCTCTACAGAGATGGGCAGAACGGGCTGCTGCAGCTGAACAACGGCACCCCGGTGACAGGCCAGTCTCAGGTAAGTATGAGCCCCACACCCTGCCCACCCCACGTACCACTCACCATGAGCCTCCAGGGAGGGACTCACTGCACAGAGCCGTGGCAGCGTCTGCAGGATTCAAGTTCTGGATAGGGGTGGTGAGGCCTATTTCTCGTGGTGAACCCATGCAGCAGACCTTTGATGTGCTCTTGAGTGGTCTTGCACTCCAGGTGAGCTTTCAGGACACACACCCACCTCACATCTACCAAAGAGAAGAATTCAACTTACAAGCATCATTGCTGTTGGTGCACAGGTTCATGCTGCAGGCCTGTGCCCAAAGATATGTTCTCTTTCCTAAGTACATCAAAGCCAGCGGTAGAAGAAGGCCCATACTGGAAGAATAGAACCCATTATTACTATTATTACTTGGAGGCAGAGGGTCTCACTCTGTCCCCCAGGCTGGAGTGCAGTGGCAGAATCATGGCTCACTGCAGCCTCTACCTCCCTGGTTGAAACCATGCCACCTCAGCCTCCCAAGTAGCTGGAACTACAGGCATGTGCCACCATGACTGGCTAATTTCTTTCTTTTTATTTTTTTTTTGTAGAGATTGAGTTTCACTGTGTTGCCCAGGCTGGTCATGAACTCCTGGACGCAAGCAATTCTCCCACCTAGGCCTCCCAAAGTGCTGGGGTGACAGGCATGAGCCACCACACCCAGCCTAAAAGCCATTATTCGTGTCAAACACAAAGCTTGCTTTTAGGACAGGGGTGTTGCAATCCTGTGGCTTCAGAAGATAGTCTCGAAAGGTTCATTTGGTTCAAAATGCAGGAATAAGTTCTTCATCTACCTTTGGGGGGTGGCCGTAACTATAGGAAATGGTAAAAAAAAAAAAAAAAAAAGGGCTGGACTGTTGGGCTACTCAGCAAATCACCTAGTATTCACATATTTGTTATGGTCTGAGCAATTTTAGGACTATGTTCAGAATAAACAGTTTGGATTAGCAGCCTGCCAAGGAACTGAGCCTATAATTATAATCAGGCAGGTGTCTGTATTCTCCAAGGAAAAATGTAGCAAGAAAGCCTTTGTTTATATGTCTACAGCTTCCTCCCTGCTTGGGCTCCTCTCTACTCTTCGCCAGCAAGGCACATTATATAAAGCAGTGGTCCCCAACCTTTTTGGCACCAGGGACCAGTTTTGTGGAAGTCAATTTTTCCATGGACCAGGGAGGGCGTTTGATTTCAGGATGAAAGTATTCCATCTCAGATCGTCAGGCATGGTTAGAGTTTCAGAAGGAACGTGTCACCTGGATCCCTCGCCCGTGCAGTTCACAACAGGGTTCGTGCTCCTCTAAGAAGCTAATGGCACAGCTGATCTGACAGGAGGCGGAGATCAGGCGGAAATGCTCGCTCATCCTGCCACTCACCTTCTGCGGTGCACCCTGGTTCCTAACAGGCCACAGACTGGTATGGGTCCATGGCCGTGGTTGGGGACCCCTGATATAAAGGGCTATGCCTTGCTGACACCCTGCCTTCCAAAATATAGAAGAAAATATCTCATTAATTTGGATCCCAGCGATTCCAAAGGAACTAGAATTCCAATTTAGTAAATGCGAATCCAGGGAGACTGTTTATGCTCTGATGGCTAGGTAAGAAAAAGACAGGGTCAGTAAACTATATCAGTGCCAGAGCTAATAGGCCTAACATGATAAAAGTTAGTTTGATAGGATAAAGAAACTTCTAGCTTGGGTCCAAAATACTAACGCGAAGACAGAATGGAGAAGCTACAATAGAAGCCTGTGAAAATGTCTAATTGTTTAAAACAGGGGAAGTTCCATAGCTGTTAACAAACAGGGTCCTGTGGTAACAATAAGCTAAAGAAATTATAGGCTGTGTTAACAGAGTCATAGCATCTAAAAAAGGGAGGTGATGATCTTATTCTATTCTGTTGACTATGTGATAGCTTCTAGTGACTCGGATAGTGACTCTAATCCTCTGAAAGGATTACATTCACATCTGGATCACATTCTAAGAAGGCTGCAGACAGATTGGAGCAGTTCCAAGGGTAGTCACCCAAACTGGAAGATGACTTGAAATCTCTTCAATGATTGATTGAAGGAGCAATGTTTAGTTTGGAGAAGAGAAGATGAAGGCATGCAAGGTGGTTTTTCGTTACAGAGTCAAAGAAAGAGCCTTGGGAAACGAAGATTTACTCCATGGACCCCCCAAGGCCGAAGCTGAATGGGATGAGCCTCAAGAGGTCTATTTTAGCTTCACCTAATAAAAGGACAGAAGTGCAACAGACTACCTCAGGAGAGGGGGGTATCTTTGGGGAGTGTTCAAGGGGTAACTTATCTAAACTTCTTGTTAGGGATGTAGCAGGAATCCAACAGCCAGTGAGAGCTTGAATTATACGAGTTTTTATATTTTTTGTTAATCTCAAGATTCTATGTTTGTAATGAATATAAGAATTAATTGAGCCAGGTGCAGTGGCTCATGCCTCCAATACCAGTACTTTGGGAGGCTGAAGTAGGCGGGTCACTTGAGGTCAGGAGTTCGAGACCAGCCTGGCCAACATGTGAAACCTTGTCTCTACTAAAAATATTTAAAAATTAGCCAGATGTGGTGGTGGGCGCCTGTAATCCCAGCTACTCAGGAGGCTGAGGCAGGAGAATCACCTGAACCTGGGAGGCAGAGGTTGCAGTGAACTTAGATTGTACTACTGCATTCCAGCCTGGGCTACAGAGCAAGACTCCATCTCAAAAAAAAAAAAAAAAAAAAAGAATTAATTTAATTGCCAGGCACAGTGGCTCACGCCTATAATTGTCACACTTTGGGAAGCCAAGGCAGGAGGATCACTTGAGCACAGGAGTTCGAGACTAGAACATGGTGAAACCCCATCTCTACCAAAAACAGAAAAATTAGCCAGGTGTTGTGGCATACGCCTGTAGTCCCAGCTACTTGGGAGGCTGAGGAGGGAGGATCGCTTGAGCCCAGGAGGTCAAGCCTGCAGTGAGTCATCTTTGAGCCTATGAATAGCCCTGCACTTCAGCCTGGGTAACATAGTCAGACCCCATCTGTATTAGTCCATTCTTATACTGCTATGAAGAAATATCCGAGACTGGGTAATTCATAAAGAAAAGAGGTTTAATTGACGTACAGTTCTGCATGGCTGGAAGGCCTCAGAAAACTTACAATCATGGTGGAAGGGGAAGCAAACATGTCCTTCTTCACATGGCAGCAGCAAGGAGAAGTGCTGAGCGAGGGGGAAAAAGCACCTTATAAAACTATCAGAGCTCGTGAGAACTCACTATCGCGAGAACAGCATGGGGGTAACCACCCCCATGATTCAGTTACCTCCCACCAAGTCCTTCCCACGACACATGGGGATTATGGGAGCTACAATTCAAGATGATATTTGAGTGGAGACACAGCCAAGCCATATCACCATCTTTTTTTAAAAAAGGAATTAATTGCAAGAAGCATGTAGCTTTATGGATACTCAGGCTGAAGATTGCCTCCATACTAGCGAGACTTGCTAAGCAAGTTGTCAAGCAGGACCACGAGTGTGGCTGTTTAATAAGCTGTCCTGAGAGACAGTGATTCTATCTTAAGTGAGATTCCCCAGCAACAGACCTGAGATGTGGAATCCTATGCAAGTGATGTATTAAGAAAGTGCTCCCAGGAGAAACTGCTGAGAGAGAGGAGACGGACAGGGAAGAAGAGGTTATCAGCAAGAGTGAGATCTCAGGCCAAGTTTTTCGGAGTATGGTTTCTGCCTGATCCAGTAGAGGAGCTCCGGAGTGTAAATTATGCCTCAGACTCATCCCAAACTGTTAAGGGCTGCCCTGGGAGAATGTGAATTCTTCCATTTCTCTGTAGAGGTAGGCAAAGCAAGCTCCAGGGATCAGAAGGCAACCTTCATCTGAAGCCAGGTTTGAAGACCATTGCCGGGGATCTTGCGAAGGGCGCAGCAAAGTAGCCACCCACCCCTACAAGGCACTTTATGCTCTAGAAAAGGATTGAGCCGTCAGCCTCCTGCTGTGGCCCCAGATCACGGAACAAAACTGGAAGGGCCAGGATGGGATCCAGAAGAAGTCAATTCTGAGAATCTTGGTGAAAGAAGCCAAGAGGACATTTAACTCATCTAATGAAAGCAGCATGCTCAGTGGCTGGCAAACAGTGTAACTGACCCTGAAAACCCATATCCTAACTTGTGTTCAGTCTGCTATTTACAAATGATTCTTATCCCTTCATCAGAAAAGATAAAACAATGATTAGATTTTCCACTTGCTGGTAACAGAAGTTTAAAAGATTGTAATTATGTTTCAGAGTCTTACACTCTGAACATTTTGTAAGTTCTGGCAGTGTGCCTTTCCCTGACACCATTCCTTACCCTATAATGCAGATGAATGAGATATTTTGGTCATTAAAAAAAAGAATGACCAGGCCGAGTGTGGTGGCTCATGCCTGTAATCCCAGCACTTTGGGAGGCCAAGGTGGGTGGATCACAAGGTCAGGAGTTCGAGACCAGCCTGACCAACGTGGTGAAACCCAGTCTCTACTAAAAATATAAAATTAGCTGGGTGTGGTAGCACATGCCTGTAATCCCAGCTACTCAGGAGGCTGAGGCAGGAGAATAGCTTGAACCTGGAGGCGGAGGTTACAGCGAGCCAAGATGGCTCAGCCCGGGCGACAGAGCAAGACTCTGTCTCAAAAAAAAAAAAAAAAAAAAAAAAAGGCCAAGGGTGACTTAATTTTGTCCCACCTAATCTTCAGCTCTGTATTTTGTAACCTTAAAACCTGCAATCCAGATTGTGGTTTGGTCTAAGATGGGAAATTTTCCTACCTCACTGTAACAACACTTAAAAAAAAAAAGTCATATTCATAAGCAAATTTCAAAACACTTTGCATCATGATCTGTTTGGTAATTCCCCCCCCCCACCCCACCCGACCCCAACAATGTTTCTCTCAGGGTATAGTATAAAGGTGACTAGGACAATGAAAAGGTAATTATTAGCCCACTGTATACAAAATTAGTATTATCACCTTTGGAGGCACAGAATAGCCCTAAGATCCTTCCAAAGTACACAGTCAGCTGGTGTCAGGACTGGAAAGAGAACGTTTTTGTTGGATGCCTAGCATGGTTCACTGCCTGGTGGGTCAGGCGTGGCTCTGACCTCCCTTCCCTTCCCTTCTAGACATTCCAAAATCCTCCCTTCTGGAAGCACAGCCCTCTGAGAAACTCACTGAGTTCCCTACGGTAATCGTGGGTTTAATTTTCCAGTAAGGCAAGGTCTTAAAGATAAATACAGATGGAAGAAAACACTGGAGCTGTCACTGACGTCTTAACCATGTCCCTCGTAAAAATCTGCTGTGTTTTGGCTTTCGATTTTGTTTAGTGAGAGTATTCATGAGTGGTCATCTTTCTTAAAGGGCCAATACAGTAAAATTACTTTCCGGACACCTCTCTATCTTGGTGGCGCTCCCAGCGCTTACTGGTTGGTCAGAGCAACAGGGACAAACCGAGGCTTTCAAGGTTGTGTGCAGTCACTCGCTGTGAATGGGAGGAGAATCGACATGAGGCCCTGGCCCCTGGGAAAAGCACTCAGCGGGGCTGATGTGGGTAAGTGGCTGCCCAGTGGGTTGGGGTAGTCTTATGGGACGTATATCTTATGGGACTGCCTTTCTGGCTTGGCCCATGGAGGGAACAGCAACATTAGGTGCTACCCTGGGAAGCTGGTACCTGCAGAACGTCAGGAGGGAGGTGGGCCCCAGGGGTGAGGCTGGTGCTCTGCAGACATGCTGACTCTGCATCTGAACACCAAAATATGGTAACAGTATGGTGCACCAAACACTGGTTGTGTCTTGCTAGCAATTTGGGTCTCATCATGAAATATGGCATGGTCTTATTGGACAAAGCAATAAGCAATCCAGCCCATTTACCTTACCTCACCCAGTCCAGTGGAAGAGCTAACACAGTAATGTAAGAAGAGCTTTCATATACTCTCTGTTTCTTAAAGAAGTGGCCGAATTCTAATTCATGATAACAGTGCCAAACATTTTCTCATACACTCTCTCATTTACTTTCACACTAACTCTAAGAGGCAGAAATTATCATCATGCCCATTTTATAAATGAAGAAACTGGGGCTTGCAGAAGTTAAATAACTTATCGAAAGTAGCAGGCAGAGCTAGGCTTATTTTTAAAGCAATAAGGATGTTTATTCTATCACTGAAAGCAACAGGTAGATAATTCCCAAGTTGGTTAATTCAGGGACTGTCTGCTAGAGCTGCCATAACAAAATACTGCAGACTGGGCGAGTTAAACATCAGAAATTAATTTTCTCACAGTTCTGGAGGCCGGAAGTCCCAGATCAAGGTGCTAGCCAATTTGGTTCCTGGGGAGGCCTCTCTCCTTGGCTTGCAGACAGCCACCTTCTCACTGTGTGCTCCAGGGATCTTTCCTCTGTGTGTGCACAGCCCTGGTATGTCTGTGTGTCCAAATATCCTCCTACAAAGACACCAATCAGAGCGGATTAAGTCCCCACTCTTATGACCTCAATTAACCTTAAATACCTCCTTAAAGATACTATCTCCAAATACAGGGAGTTAGGACTTCAACTGTGAATTTGGGGGGAAAAACAGTTTAGTCCATAACAGGGTCTCTATGATATCAGGACTCTGGATCGATATCTCTAGGATACTCTCCTTTTCACTCACTACTCTAAGCATCACATCCTTATGACTTTGCCCTTGGCAAAGTCTCTTCCTTGAATCTCTTTTCCCTCCATCTCTAAGATGTTATTTTGAAAGAATGCACAGTGAACATCATAGTCTCATTGCCTAGATTCTACCGTTAACATTTTGCTGCATTTTCTTGACCACATTATCAATTCATCCCTCTCCCCATTCCTCAATCAGAGGTAGGATTCAATCCTCATGACTCCTAGAACAGTATTTGTTTTGTTTGTTTTTCTTGTAGCTAATATTAGTTGAGCACCTACTTTAAGTAGGCACCATTCTAAATTACTTTGATCTTTCCAAGGTTATTATGAAGTGGGTGCTATCATTAGCCTTACTTTACGGATAAGAACCAATGGGGCTGGACACGATGGCTCACGCCTGTCATCTCAGCACTTTGGGAGGCTGAGGCAGGCAAATCACCTGAGGTCATGAGTTGGAGACCAGCCTGGCCAACATGGTGAAACTCCGTCTCTACTAAAATACAAAAATTAGCTGGGCATGGTGTCACACCTCTGTAATCCCAGCTACCCAGGAGGCTAAGGCAGGAGAATTGCCTGAACTCAGGAGGCAGAAGTTGCAGTGAGCTGAGATTGTGCCACTACACTCCAGCTTGGGCAACAGAGTGAGATTCTGTCTTAAAAAACAAAACAAAACAAAACAAAAAACCAATGGCACAGAACAGTTAAGTAACCCGCCCAAGGTCACACAGCTAGTAAGTGGTAGAGCCTAATGTGACCTCAGCCATACTGGCACCAGGGACTACCCTCTTAACAAAATCAACTACATCAATGGCTACCAAATTGTTTCCCTCCACCTTGTTCACTCCTATAGGTGATGCCATTGTTATAACTATAAAAGATGCAGTTTACTTAACAAAAAACGTTTACCATCCATTGATTACTTGGTCAAAGTAAACAGTAAGCAGCAATGACTGAAACAATTATTAAAGTTGTCACTATGGTAGGACAATGTCTCCAAAATCCGTTTTCTCTCTGTGATGATTCAGAACATAAGAACCAGCCATTCCATTAGGAATCGCATGCCTTGTTTATGAGCCTGGACCCTGAAGGCAGATTGCCTGGATTTGAAAAATGTTTGCAACTCAGTCTCCCCATCTAGAAATAGGATCTACCTCATAAGATTATTTTGTTTACATGAGTTGTGGTGCATAAAAAGCACTTAGAATAGGGCTTTGCACATCGCAAACATTTCATAAATATTTCCTGTTATTAATATGATTATTCATATTCTAATCCTACCCATCAAACCAGCTATCATCTGTTTCTTCAGGGGAACAGCCCTGAATAAACCTGGCAGTCCTGAGATGGCATGGAAACCTCTGACAGGTAGTTCAGAGGTTGCAAAGTTGGGCAAGAACTGATTTCTGCCAGCTTTGTTCATTCCCACACAGTGTGATACCCGCTTCTCCAGCAGGTGGCACCAAAAAGACCTCGCTTCTGGGCTCCAGCTCCCTGGATACAGCTATTGGATTACTGTATAGATTTCTCTCTGTGAATGTTAACGGCACCTGTCAGCCATGTTGGTGTTTTACATTTCTTCCCATTTCATTTTCCCCAGGGTTATAAGAGTGGGGCTGGTTATCCTTCCTCAGCTTCCATGTTTGCTGTCCTTTGGGTTACTCCTCCTGAAATTCAAGTTTTCATAAGTCAAACGCGGCCTCACCAGGGAGGTCATGGTTTCCCATCTGATATCTCTAACTTGGCATTGCCATCTTCAGCTGTGACATTTTCTCTGCCTTCCCACTAAACCTGTTTTCATTCCCCAGAGGGGCCTTTCATTACTCAGTTCCTTCCACTTCATCTCCTGTCTTTCGTTAGACTGTTCCCAGCTCCTGTGCTCTCTGCAAGTCACATTCTACAATAGTTAGTCAGAAATCTCAGCAAATTTTGCGTTCTCTGGTCCAGCTCTTGATTATTTCCATTCAGATTCTCAAACCTATATTTCCACCGCTCATTTATGCCAGTCCTGTCTTGGATATCCCCACTCTGCTGGAGCAGTCACAGAGCCACTTCCTAGATTTGAGATTCAAGGGGTCTGTGGTGACCATGGGTCTCACCCTGGCTTACCAGCTCTTTTCCTCATTTCACTCAATAAATACTTCACTGAGCACCTGCTTAGTGCTTGTCACAGTGCTGGGTGCTGGAGATCAAGTAATGAACAAGGCAGGATCTGGCTCAGTCCTCATATGGTTACCATGAGGAGAGACCAAATTAATATAATAATCACACAGTGAAGGTGAAGTTACACCTGGGGTAAGTGTTATGAAGGAGAAGTGATGCTGCAATGGTGATGTTCAATAGGGAGGTTGTAGGGTTTGGGGGCCGGGGAAAGAGTTTCTCAGAAGAGGAAGTTAATATGAAGCAAGAGTAGAAGTGAAAATGTGGAGAAGGGAGAGAAGGACGTTCCAGGCGAGGGAAGGGCTTGTTCCAGGGAAAAAGGAAGTGGGGGATGGGTGCCTTGATGTAGTTTGTGAATTGAGAAGATCCCCTGAAAGCTCATTAGAAGGGGCTTTCAGGGATACATGTAGACCAGCTGAGGTCTATTGCAGTAGGTCACATGACAAATGACGGTTTAATCCAGGTGGTAGTGGTGGTAGAAACAGAGAGAGATCTGACAGATCATTAGGGGGAAAGATAGGTGGGCCTCGGTTATGGATTGGGGGCTGGAGACAGGGAAGTTTCTCCTTGTTCATGGTCTCTTTAAGGAACTCCACCCAATGATGTTCCACATTCTTTCCCCTCCTTAGAAGTCTTATTTCTCTTCTACCTCTTGCTTTCTTATCTAGCAGAAACCTACACAACAGCCGGCCTGTGGTAGGTGCTGGTGAAAGTGACTTTACATATTGATGATGAGGTCTGTGTATACATGACCTTGCCGCACCCACCTCTCCTCCCCATCACTCTGAGTTGAGAGTTTTCCCCCTAAAATGAACCTGTTCAGCTACACTCTGTACTCACCCTTCCTGGCTTCCCTGGGCCCTTGCTGCCAGGGTTCTCTCTTCTCAGTAGCCCAGGGGTTCTTAACCTTTTTTGCACTGCAGCCCCCTTTGGTGGTCTGGGGAAGCCCCTGGACCTCTCTCTTCTCATAACGATGTTCTTAAATGGAGAAAAATAATATATGTAATATTATAAGGGGAAACAATTATACTGAAACTCAGCCCTATCACATATTTTTTGTTTTGCTTTTACGGTAATATATGTGCTCCTTTATAAAGCATTAAGGAACAGAATTATTTAATGGTGGGTGAAATAACTCCCATGACTTCAAAGTAGCAACAAGTATAAATGATACTTTGAAATATGTACAATAAATGGAATGTGACAACAACTGTGAGGTCTACTGGTCACAAGTCACAAGAACTACTAATACTAGAAGTATCTTGCCTGCATTGAAAGTTGATGGAAATACATACCCAGCTCCAGGCAGAGGCTAGGCAAAATACAGATGCAATATTTTTTTCCTTCTCGGTTCACAGAGCCCCTGCTGTGGCTTACTCACCTATGCTCAGGTTCTCTCCAGCTCACACAAAGTACCATGCCTTGTGTGACCCTGTACCCACACCGGTTTGGTTACTCTGGGAACCTCTCTCCCTTCTTTCAAGGCCTGACACCAGCACTGAGTATTTCCACAGTCATCTTAGACTTAAATCCAACCAAAGCAACCTCTCCCTTTGCTTTGCAGAAGTCAGGTCCTGTCCACAGCCACTCTTATTTCTTCCCTCCTGCACCATTCTTTTAGTCTTTCAAGCTACAAATATTGAGATTGTGCTGGAGGAATCTTCTTGCCCTTCGACCACTACAATGAATCTCTCATTTCTTCCTTCCTTGGATGTCTGATCCTTCACAGTCTCTCCATTTTCTTTGTGGCCACCCTGTTCACTCCCCTATAGAACTTCTTTCCTCTCCTCCACTCCTGTCACTCATCAGTCTGTCTTGCGTGCCATTCCCAGAGTAATCTTGCTGAAATGCTGCTTTCACCAAGTCAGCAACTCCATCTGGCTTTCATGACCTCCCCTACCCTACCCCCACCTCTTAAAAAATAGTTAAAATGCATAAGATTTGTAAAGTAATCCTTTTCTGTTCATCTAAAATAACATACAAGGACCCCACTCCTTCCTGTGGATCCAGCCAAGCTCTGGGAAGGAATCACAACCCACAGAAATTGGCAGGGCTCAGGGACCTTTGAGAGTTTGGCTCTTTAAGATCGAAGTCAGCCAGCATCTCTGTGGAGACTGCGAATGCTGGGGGTGACATTCTTAGGGCTGTAGCTGGAGACCACTGGCCATGTCTGCCTGAACATTCAGTAGCCACCAGCTGGAATTCACAGAGGCTAGCCCACCCCAGCTGGGGTGGCAAGCCATCTACACAGGCTTTAATTAAATTCTGTTAGCAGTCCCTGAAGTCAGTCTCCTCTCCTGGGTCTACCCTGGGTGCCTGGCCCTTACCCGTCCTCCCAGTGAGTCTTTATGAAAAGTCTGGACCAATTCAAGGAGGGAAGGGTGAGAGATTCATCCGGCCGAGATGACACACTCAGGCCAGGGGAGGCTCCTGCCCTCACAGGGTGGGCTACCAGCTCATGCCAGAGGGAAGCCTTGACGACTGGGAGAGAGCACAGCTGGACCCTTCATTTCCAGGGGCACGCCCTTCTACCTCCACCCCCAGAAAAAGTGTTTTGTACTCCCTCATCTGGTTCTGGGCCAGATGGTGGTCCATCTGTCTAACTGATTTCTTACACACAAAGAGAAAACACAAAGAAGCAGAAGAAAAACAGCCCATGAAAAGTCCATTTGTTTTCCTCTGATGACATGCACTTGAAAATGACAAAGTATACCCTTTCTGGATCTCTCTGATCTGTTTGGTGAAGAGAGCTCACTCATCGGATGTTAAGCCTTTCAGCCTTCTCACTGCAGGCCACCGTTCTGTCCCTCATCAGGGTGTAACTTTGGAAGTAGAAATAGGGATTCTGAAACCCATGTGCCAACGTATTATGAGGCCCTCTCTCTCTGCTCCCTACCCCAGACAGAGGAGTTGACAATCCAGGTGAGTTAATCAGCTTAGATGTGGCTGGGTAACTCCTTCCGTGCCTACCTTGCTTGTCTCAACTTTGAACCAACAAGGCAGCAGCACTTAAGCTAATTGGGGTCATGCAATTTAGAACGCTTTTAACATAAACACCCTGTTGACGTTGGAGGGATTGAAATATGCTCTTGTGGGAGCAACAGACAGATGAATTAAAGCAGAAACAGCTCAGTCATCCCAGTTAGTGGTCATAAAATTGCCCAGAAATATATTATTTGATTCATTGTGTCCATCATGTTTTTTAAAGTCTCTATGGCTCTTCGTACAGGACAAACCAAAATCAAATTAAAATGAAGAGCAGGTTCCACTTATCCTGAAAGCCTGTTTGCAGTTGTGCAGAGCTGCAAATCAACAGGAGTAAGAACTAAACTGTATTTATTCAGAACCATGAGCTGCTGGTGGGGTCAGTGCCACTGTGTTGGACTGGCACACATGGCGGATGGGCTTTGTAATTCCCATTCTGTATTTAGGGGAATGCAGCAGTGGAATCTGCGATGAGGCCTCGTGCGTCAATGGTGGCACCTGTACAGCAATCAAAGCCGACTCCTATATTTGCCTCTGTCCCCTTGGGTTTAAAGGTCGACACTGTGAAGACGGTGAGAAAGAAGCAAGTTGATGGCGGTTTCTATCTGCATGTTAATTTGTGTAGATGTACTTTATCATCAATGTAGTGAGTTTTTTTTGTTTTTTTGTTTTTTGTTTTTTGAGACAAAGGCTCCCTATGTTACCCAGGCTGGAGTGCAGTGGCACATCTCAGCTCATTGCAACTTCTGCCTCCTGGGTTCAAGTGATTCTCTTCTGCCTCAGCCTCCCGAGTAGCTGGGACTACAGGCGTGTGCCACCATGCCCAGCTAATTTTTGTATTTTTAGTAGAGACAGGGTTTCACTATGTTGGCCAGGCTGCCCCCAAACTCCTCGCCTCAAGTGATCCACCCGCCAGGCCTCATCAATGTACTTTTAACAAAGCTAACGAAGCCCTTTCATTTTTATGGGATCAACATTGCTTTGTTGGGAGAGATGGGGGAAACTTTTTTTAACCAGGTTGGAGTGTCTGACTGCCAAAATTTGTTTAGTAAAGATAACTCACCCATCTGATGTTGAGCCTTTCAGCACTTCTTGCTGCAGGGCACCTTCCGTCCCTCAACCAAACATATGTTCATTTCAAGATGCTAAGAATGAGTAGGCTCCTCTTGGCCCTTGAGTAACTTTTTTTTCTTTTGAGACGGAGTCCCGCTCTGTCACCCAGGCTGGAGTGCAGTGGCACGATGTCAGCTCACTGCAAGCTCCGCTTCCCGGGTTCACACCATTCTCCTGCCTCTACCTCCCAAGTAAAAGCATGTATTGGTATGGTTTGTATCAGACTGAATTCAAAGCATTTAAAGCTCATGCTCATGCTCTTTAGAATATCTGTCAATTTCTGATAAAAGATTGGGAAGGTGGGGCCAGGCACAATGGCTCATGCCTGTAATCCCAGCACTTTGGGAGGCCGAGGTAGGCGGATCACGAGGCCAACGTGGTGAAACCCCATCTCTACTAAAAATACAAAAATCAGCTGGGCGTGGTGGTGCCTGGCTGTAATCCAAGCTACTTGAGAGGCTGAGGCAGGAGAATTGCTTGAACCCAGAAGGCGGAGGTTGCAGTGAGCCAAGATCGCGCCACTGTACGACAGTCTGGATGACAGAGCGAGACTCCGTCTTGGAAAAAAAAATGGATTGGGAAGGTAGACACAGAAACATTAACAATGTGATTAACAAAATTAACCTTTATTTGTACTGTTCTACTAAATTATTCCACACTTTAATACTGTATGTACAGAGAGTATGTAAATATATATACATGCACACACTATGTGTATATAAACATGGAAACACACATACACACAAATACACGTATGTGTGCACACACACGCAAATAATAACAAAAAATTTCAAAGATTTTGGAAAATCATGGAGGGTTCCAAAAACGATTTTGGAAAATCATTTTTGCCGAATTCTAAAATTAAAATAAAAAGAAAATAAAACTGAGGCTAAGATCACAAAACTAGCCAAATTCTTCCCTAATTCAGATTTGGACCTAAGATACCATGCTGGGGAAAACGTTTGTAATCTCAAATCTCATGTCACCTAAAAGAGGGCATATGAGTCAGGGTAAGCCAATGCTGTTACATACCATCTCATATTTCAGAAGCCTTACTAGTCAAGGCTGGTTCTTGCTCATATTACAAAATCACTGCAGGTCAGAGACAGTGGTGAGAGAGGGCGTTCTGCTCCACACAGTTATACAGGGACACAGTTTCCTTCCATCTAATGGCTCTTCTAGGACCTTAGAGTCCTCCGCTGATACCTGCATCCTGCCAGCACACAAGAGGAGAGGAGGAGCATGGAGGATGGAGGGAAGTTTTAGGGGCCACACCTAGGGTTCTCTATGATTCTTTCACCCATATTCTACCGGCCAGAATTCAGTCACACCAGCAACCTAACTGCAGGGCCGCTGGGAATTATAGTTTAGGTCTGTACCCCGGAGGAAAAGAACACAGCTGTGGGTGCACATCTGGCCAGTTTCTGCCACAGATTGATTTCTAACACCGTGCTTGTTTTTTCAGCTTTCATCTTGACCATTCCTCAATTCAGCGAGTCTCTGAGATCCTACGCTGCAACTCCCTGGCCACTGGAGCCCCAGCATTACCTTTCCTTCACGGAGTTTGAGATCACATTTCGGCCAGACTCAGGAGATGGTGTTCTCCTGTACAGCCATGACACAGGCAGCAAAGACTTCCTGTCCATCAACATGGCAGGGGGCCACGTGGAGTTCCGCTTTGACTGCGGCTCTGGGACCGGTGTTCTCAGGTGAGGGCTGAAACCTTCTGGGACCCTTTGCCTTAAAAAGGCAAATAGTAACCGCTTCAGAAAAAAGCCCAAATTGCCATTCAACAGTTCACACTCGTCCTGTCTTCTCTACATGCTTATCTTCTGAAACTCGTGCTGACTTGTCCTGCTTCAGGCAGACGACAGGCTTCCCATAGAGAGTACTCTCCTTCCCACAAGGCTTCCTTTTCTCAAGTAACTACCCAACAGGTGCAATTCTATGCTTCAAACTACGGAAAATGGACTTGCTTCAGGTGGAGGTAAACTGCCTCCATTTCCACCTAAAGTTATGCCACGTCATCCGCAGAAACTTGACAAACTGTAACTAATCAGCATCTTATACAGAGCGTCACATGATGGGCATCCAGCAAATACATGTCAACTAGGAAAAAAGTATTAATATTTTTGAACAAAAATGTCCTTGATGACCTCACTCTAGATTTTCACTTTCCTCTTGAACTATTTCTTTAATGGAAACTGACAGTGAATCATCAGCAATGCAAAGACCCGTTCCCTAAGCAGTATGCTCAAGAAAGATGTGCGATGAGTGGTTTCAATAGCATAGCAGGAAATGGGTGCTTCTGCAGTACTTGCTGGTATTTGCAGAACTGGTCTGAGTAGTCAAAACTTTCCTACTGTTATCTAGTTTGTGCTATTAAATTACTTAGCAGGTGGATTGTTCCTTGGAGCCTGTAGTTTGTAGATGCAGATGCTTTTATTTATGTCTCCCATCTTTTTATTGCATTGATGGTAGTTTTAACCTTCAAGCCGGAGGGGCCACTAATCGAATGCAGACGTACTTCTTGTTCCTACGTTTGTCTAATGCTTCTCTTTTGAAACTCACTAGAATGTTTTGCTCCATGGTGCCCTGTAACATGATATCAGTTAGTCTGTTGTTTCAAAGAATGTTGCAAACTGTTTTCCATCACTCTTCATATTGCTAGACTGTCATGTTTAAAAAGAGTATGTGGGTGAGATGCTAAAACTTATGCATTGCCCTTAACTACTGATCATTTTTCCTGGCTGATAGAAAATGCTCACTGCATTAGGTTTTAACAGTTCTTAAAAAGGATGGTTTGTTTTTGTCCTTGTGGCTGAATTCCTGCACATCAGTGACACCTTCCCCCTAGGGGAATGGATAAATATTGTTGTACCTCTGGTTATGCAAAAACATCCTATATTTCAAGACAACTTTGGTGGGGATTTAATTGATTCAATTTACATATGATTATGCAAAATAGCCTAAGCAATTCACTTAGAACTGTATGTCAGGTTGACAAAGGAAGACACCTTGAATATCACCTTGCACTTTTAAATGGTTTTCTTCCTGGATAAGGAAGGACCAGAAAGATCCAGGAGAGGGTCGGGGCTCATCAGCCCTCCTCCTGGACAGACTGCCCCCTCCACACTGCCTCTGTGCAGTGGCAGCTGCAGCTGTGGGGTCACGAGCACATGGAACCCTTAGAAGTCCAGCATTTCTCTCTTTCATAGCTCTGTGCTTATTTTTGACACAAGGTGTTTTCATTTTTTTTTTGTACATTTATTAAGTTATTGTTTCACTGCCTATCAGGAAAGGCAACTGGAAAAAGAATTTTTCAGAATTAGGTGATGAAAATGAGGCAAGAGTTTCTAAGGGACAAACCACCATCTGCCCCCTTATCCCATCCCCTCCTGAGCGTAACCTAACAACAGTGATTACTCTTGGTGTTTCAGATGCCCCGTTGGAAGCTGTTTATTTTGAAAACCATTTCAAAGACTTCTTGCTTAATTAAGAAAATGCGGTGAAAACCCAAACTACAGGAAGTTGCAGAAGTGGCCAGATCATTTTAACTTTAGGAAAAGGATAAGACGGGCAAATTCATTATGAACTTGATTAAAAAATCACAACAATCGAAATGAGTTCTTGATGGCCGTGATCGATAAAAGGATGTTGAGGAAGGTGGCATATTGACAGCAAATGACCTCTGCAGTACAAAAACATGAAATGGCTCTGTTATGGAGCTAGACCACTTAAAAGGGGCTGCTTATTTCTTTATTGCATATTGATTTAGCCAAGGTGATTAAATTCTAATTGCTAAGAACAAATCACAAAAGCATTTGCCAAAGCAAAAAAAAATCAAGCGAGGGGGTGGTGACCTTTCAATAATTGTGCCCATTGGTATTCCTCATGGTTTTCTAAAGATGATCCAGGACCATGAGATAATTGGGAAGTTCAGCGAGGGCCAGGAACTAGACATTGCTAGAAATACAAATGCAATAATGAGTCTCTTTCTGCACACCTTACTATAAAATGTAATGAGTAAAACTTGCATAAATATCATTAAACTTTAAGCACTTCCACTTTGAATGAATAATTGAACTTTTAATGTAATTTTAATCATTTTTACAATATCAGAAAATATGGAATCTGTTTCCCTCCCAATATTTTATTATGAAAAATTTCAAACATATAGAAAAATTAGAAGAATTGTATGGTAAGCATCCTGATACCGAGCACCTATAGTCTGTAATTAACATTTTGCTATATTTGCCTCATCACATATCTAGCCATTGTTATATCTGTCCATCCATCCTTCTTATTTTTTAAAAAAAATTTTAATGACCGAAACAAAGCATCTAAAACTGCAACTTCTCAAAGAACCACTTGTTCTTGCCCATCTGTTCATCTCTTCAAACTTGACCTTGGCCTCCCATTGGGCCTTGTGTTTAAGACCAGGGCCTCTGAAGACATCTTTATTGATAACAGTTTTGTCCAAGGGGATATCTGGTGGCTGTAGGGGCGATCTGAGGTGCCATCATCAACGTTCTTCGTGATGACAGCTTTGCGTTGGAGTAGCGTCTGGCCAGGACCACCACCAGTTTTCTAGGTTTTATGAATGTGCCCTTTTCAACAGCAACCACTCAGGCCTACAGCAGAAAGGTCCTTCTTATTTTTTATGCATTTCAAAGTATGTTACAGACATTGGTACACTAAAGAATTGGTTTTTTACATCATAGCTCCTATAATTTTTCTCTTCTTCCAAGCTTGTGCACAATCATGACCATATTTTACCTTCACGCCACCTCTCATTTAGAAAACTTATATCACCAGACTCACTGAACCCCATTTCAGGCTCATTGTAAGGAATAAATAAAACAATAAATGCAATGCTCCTACTGTATGAAGGGGTCCAATAAGCAGTAACTAATCCTGCTGTTGTTACTAAGCAGTAATTAGTGTTTTCTTTTTATTGAATGGATTGGGGTGCCTAAGGTTAGCATTAGCTTCCTCATGGCTAGATTGACAAAAATGATCCATAACATGCTAACCCATGCTCGGTTTCCTTCTATGTTAGTCAGGGTTCTCCAGGGAAACAGAACCAATAGGCTATAAATAGACATGTAGAGAGATTTATCCTGAGGCGTTGGCTTGCATGATTATGGAGGCTGAGAAGTCCCATGGCCTGCCGTCTGCAAGCTGGCAGCCCAGGAAATTTAGTGGTGTATTTCCAGTCCAAGCCTGAAGGCCTGAGAACCAGAGAGCCCATGATGTCCGTCCTAGTCCAAGTCAAAGGCCCAAGTACCAAGAAGCTGATGATGTAAGTCTTGGTCCAAGTCTGAAGAGCAAAGAACCAGCATCGAAGCTCAAGGTCAGAGAAGATGGATGTCCCAGCTCAAGAAGGGAGAGCACATCCCCACTCCTCTTCCTTTTTGTTCAGTTCAGAGCCTCTGCAGATTGCATGATGCTTGCCCAGGTTGATGAGGGCAGATCTTTACTAAGTCTCCTGATTCAGATGCTCATCTCTTCCAGAAACACACTCACAGACACACCCAGAAATAATGTTCTACCAGCTATCTGGGCATTCCTTATCCTAATCAACTCGATACATAAAATTAATATCACATCTTCCTTCCACAGGAGTGAAGATCCCCTCACCCTAGGCAACTGGCACGAGCTTCGTGTATCTCGCACAGCAAAGAATGGCATCTTACAGGTGGATAAGCAGAAGGTAGTGGAGGGAATGGCAGAGGTAAGAACAGCACACCTTTTCTCTTGATGGTTAGTGTGAGCCAGAGTACTGTTTTCTGCCTGTCTTGGTACAAAAGCAGCACAGTGTTGTGGTTAAGTACAGGGACTTCAGTGCCTGTGTGAAAATCCCAGCTCCCCATTGGGCAAATTACTTAACTTTTCTATCACTTAGCTATAAATGGGGATAATAACAGTATGGGCCTCGTAGAGTTGTTGTGAGGATTAAGTGAGTTGACACCCAATACGTTTAGCACTTACAAAATTGCCTTTCACCTCTTCACCTCCCACCTCCATCTTTGTTCTTATCAGCTGCACCAGGTAGTAGGTAAGAACACGGACTCTGGGGTAGGGCCCATTGTGCATGGAGGAGGCCTGACAAGAACAGGCTGTGAGTCCAGACCTCTGGGGCTCAAAATCTGGCTCAATTACTTACCAGTGGTGTGAGCTCATACTGGTTACTTGACCTACCAAGATTGTTTTTCTTGTCTCAGCATTATCCTCTTATCAATGGGGATAATGGTGGTGATGATAATAGTGCCTACTTCACAGAGTTGTTGTGTGAATTAAAAGAATTATACATGTAAAAAACAGCAGTACCTGATGCCAGGTCAGCACTAAATAGCTTTACTTAGTAGTAGTAGCACTAGTAGTAGTAGTAGTAGTAGTAGTGGTGGTGGTGGTGGTGATGGTGGTGGTGGTGGTGGTAGTGAATAATGTATGGTTATGGACTCAAGAGGATAGGATTTCTACTGAAGTTTATAACTTTCCTGCATGATTTTAATTCCAAGGTCATGTACAAAGAAAAATAACATTTTTAGGAGGAAGTCAGGGAGATTTGCTTTAAACTATAGCCTGCTAGGATTCTGCAAACACACACACAGTTTACAGTTCCTCAAAAATAGAGGGGACTTTAGATTTGCCAATATCTTACTTCCCACCAGTTTTCATTCTGTGCAAAGGAAGATTTGCAAAGGACATTGACAAATTTGGGTATACTAATAAGCAAATAGACTAGTAGAAAAAAGAAAAGGAAGGAAAAGGCACTTTTGCTGGGGAAAGAGGTACTTGGTTGGAGAGAGAAGAAAGAGGGTCACATATGTCCAGAAGCCAGCCTGAGGGGCTGCTGCAGTGGGAGGACCAATTGGAACCACGGACCTCCTTGGGAATGAGGGGAATCCCAAATTGGGTTCTGTGTCAAGGGGTGGGCACCCTTCACACCTAGAAAATGCTCCATATATATCTGTGGAAGGCAGGAAGGGAGGGGGAGGGAAGAAAGGAAGGGATGAAGGGAAATTGATTTTAAATGGAGAACCGGAGTCACTTCTGGTGCAATCCAGAACATTCTAACAGCCGACTTTACTCCAAGACAGAATTAGAAGCTCACAAGAATGCACCTGGCTGTCTATTGGTTTAATGATATAAATTCAATTGTATCTCTCTAGATCTTAGTTGCAAACATCTGTAAAACAGGAACAAAAGCTGAGGATGGGAATGTTTGTAAACAGTAGGGGCAGGGTCCATCACTATAAATAAGTTACTCTTCAGGACGCTGCATTTACTATTAGGATTTAAGAGATGACACATAGGTAAAAACCACACCTCAGAGTTTCTATCACTGCACATCAGCAAAAGAGCATGAAGCCAATATGGTGGCACCTGCACCCTCCATTTTGACTTTTTGACCTTTGGTGGCATGTGGGTGAATGGAGCTGACTGGAGTTTTAAAGCAAAAGAAAAGCAAAAGGAACCCACAGGAAGGTGTGGCTCTGGTGTGTGCATTGGAGGGACGTTCTGCTGAGTCTACTGTGAGCCAGGAGTGGGAAGGCCAATGCCTGATCTCCATATGCTAAACCTTCATCAAGTCTTTTCCACAAGGAATTCTGTTCCCCCGCTGGCCATATCATGTTCGAAGTGTGACTGACAGGGCAGTGGTCTTAGAGCTCAGAGACAGATGAGGGCAGGGGTTAGAGTACACTCTGAGGGGCTAACCCAGGACCTAAGCACCCAAGAGCCTGTGTGCAGACTAAACCTGACCACCAGGCTGCTCAGTTGGCAGCACTGAGAAATATCAGCGGCCTGGGCTTGGGTCTGACTATGCAAGATGCATGGAAGAGCAGTGCTTTTGAGACTTTCAGGAAACTCCAGCCTGGAGGTTTGCTCAGCTTTGCAAACTGCTTCCAGCCAAGTCAAAGTGTAGGATCCAGACATAAAACCCCTCACTGCAGAGCAGGCCTGGCTTTGGTGGGGTCTGTTTGCTTCTCTCCTGCGGTCCCCCTTGGGCATGGCAGCTGCAGCCCTTCCACTTGTCAGCAGGAGGGTGTTGGACGAGGATTTTGATGAGCAGCCAAAAGGAACTGCTCCTCACTCCACGAGGCCCCGCCGCTGGACACAGACATAATGCAGTTTTTTTTCCTAGCAGCCAGCTGCTCTGAAACCTCCTTGACCCTGTGTCCTTCCTCCTTTCCTCTCTCCATCTTATTTTAGCTTTTGGGTAAGAGCAATGACAAGAGAAAGATGCCTGTGGGTTTGTGGTGACAGTTCCTGACTGGTTCAGTATTCTTCTGGGCCACAAGAATTCCTGAAAGCCTTTGTGCTTCTTTGATAACCTCCTAGTTAAGTAAGAACCCTCAAATCTGCCTGAAGGCTATTGACAGAAGGCACTTCGGTCAATTAATCTAATTGAAATTTCCCTGGGCTACCTGGCTGGACCCAGCCACTGTGGGCGCTCCCTAAGATAAACAGAGCCTCCTCCTCCATGGCTCGCCTGTCTCGTCTTCTCCACCCTTGACATGACCCCAGATTCATTCTCCTCCTTCTGGCCAATGATCTTCCAAAGCACAGACCTCTCTCTCCTGCTTAAATCTCACTGTTTTTTTGGGTAAAGTTCATGCTCCTAATGTGGCGTATAAGGCCCTGCATCCTCTGGCCCCTTCTCGCCTGTGCCTTATACTCACATTGTCTCTAAGCCCCAATGTCTTCCAGTTTCTACAATGTTAACTCTTCCTTGACCACCTCCCCCACTCCCTGTGTCTAGGGTAGGATATGAGACTCCCTTGTCCAGCACCCCGGTGCACCCATAGCCACCTGTACAGTTCTTCCCAGTGCTGATCTCACCTGCTCTTTCACTTGTCTGTATTCCCTACTTGCGTAAACCCCTGCAGGGCAGGGGCTGGGTCTTTCTTATTTTCTGCTGTTTGTCCAGCACTTAACATAGTAGATGGGGCATATTATAGTAAGTGCCCGATAATATTTGTTAAATAAACGATCAAAGCTGCTAGTATTTGTATTTCTTTTATCGTAAATCAAAGGAAATAATAACTTAACATTATCTAAAGTGTGTTCATTCCCAGAGCTCTCAAATTTAAGGGTTTATTTCTCACTCATGACACATACCCACCAATGGTTAGCTGCAGCTCTAGTCTGAGATCCGGGCTGCGGGAACAGAGGGAAGGAGAAAAGGGCATGGTGAACTACTCTCTGGCTCTGAAAGCGTCTGCCCAGAAGTGATTCTTTTCTCTTCTGCTCATGTTTTATTGGCTATAGGAAGTCACACAAGCTCATCTGAGCCAGCCGACAGGTTGGAGGCAATCTTCCTGTGGGGAGGGTACCTGTGACCAGTAGTGCAGTCTGCCACAGTCATCATGACATAGCTATGAGGTAGATACAATGACTCCCATTTTGCAGACAATGAAACGAAGTGTCAGAGACATGAAGACTTTCACCAACATGCAGGCAGGTGGTAAGTAGCAATGAGAAGCACTGTGAGAGTGAAGCCCACGTGTAGACAGATGGTCGTGTGGGGCTTGAGGCTCTGTCTACCATTTTGTTCCACAACAGGGGACCGAAGACCCATGTGATCATTTTGAACATCTGTTTTAAAGTTATACCGTGCTTTGTTTTTAATCTCTTGGCAGGGAGGCTTCACACAGATTAAGTGCAACACAGACATTTTTGTTGGCGGAGTCCCCGATTATGATGATGTGAAGAAGAATTCAGGTGTCCTGAAGCCTTTCAGCGGGAGCATCCAGAAGGTGCAGGCATCTCTTCCTCGTGTTTACTGGGCCACCCAGCCCGTGGACAATGAAAGTGAGGGTTGCGATCCGTGTCATCTGCTGCACCCAAGAATGACACTTTGAGAAAGTTTTCACATTTTTAAGATTTTAGATTTGAATGCCCGCAGCATGGCTTTCCAACCTCACTTTCTTATAACATCTGCTCCTGGGTCTGTGCCCAGCAGACATTCCATGAATGCTACTTGGTGATGATGAATTTTTACAGCAAATCTACCAAACTATATTAGGACTGCTGAGGGAGTGAAATGGCATCAGGTGTCTGCAGATACTTCCACAGTAGGGAAGGAAGTGGATGGAGGTGAATAGCAACCTTGGCTCCGCGCTTCTCTTTGGCGGTACTTTGCAGTTTGCTCAACATTAGAGCCAGTGCTCATCCCCACCCCCACAGTTTAGCAGTTGGTGTTCATTGATCATGTAACCAAGCTCTTAAGAACATCAAGAGTTTTTCCCTAGAAGGTTCAGGAAAAAAAAAAATTCAGTAAAAGATACTGACTCCCCTGCTTCCCTGCTCTCTGTCTTTTTTTTTTTTTAAGACCGAATCTCACTCTGTCGCCCAGGCTGGAATGCAGTGGCGTGATCTCAGCTCACTGCAACCTCTACCTCCTGGGTTCAGGAGATTCTCCTGCCTCAGCCTCCCGAATAGCTGGGATTATAGGCGCCTGCCACCACGTCTGGCTAATTTTTGTATTTTTAGCAGAGACAGGGTTTCACCATGTTGGCCAGGCTGGTCTCAAACTCCTGACCTTGTGATCTGCCCACCTTGGCCTCCCAAAGTGCTGGGATTACAGGCGTGAGCCACTGCTTCTGGCCTGCTCTCTGTCTTTTATTCCTTCTCATGGGGCTGCCCATGATCTCTGTGGTTATGAAGACACGCTCTGTCTGCAACAGACCTGCTTGACCCCCCAGCCCAGGTGGGCAGAACCACTGAACACTGGGAGAACAAGGATCTAAAGAAAAGCATGTTTAGTTCCTGGACATTAGCTTCATCCTGTTTTCCTTTCGTGGCCAATGGTGGCTAAAGGGTCCTGATGGAGCATGAGGGAGGCTAAGGTGAAGGAGGAATGATGAAAGAGTCCCTCCTCTCACTGAAAAGGACCCCTGGGGCTGTGGCCATCATATCTCCCATCGCAGTGTCAGGCCCAGTCAACATTTGCTGACAGTCATGTGTCTCCCTTTGTCACTGAACTTTGAGGTGTGTGACACCTTAGTTCAGACCATTCTCCCCCATGAGTGGGAGTGGCCATGCTTAACCAGGTGTTTCAAATTCTCACCTGGGAAACAAGCTGGGATGCCAAGACAGTATCCATCCTCTGCCCGCTCTTCTCAGGCTGTGCCCTCCCCTTCACCCGGTACACACAACCCTCTCCCTATCTCCTGCTAGAAGAACCACCCTCTCCTGCCTGATTCACGGGCTTGGCCGTGTGCTGTAGTGAACAGTGCTGTTCTTGGCTTGTCTCAGCACATATTATGCAGGCTCTTGGTCCTTCACTTGCAGCATGAAAGGAAGAGATTGTAGAAGGATCCTGCCTACTTTCTAGCAGCTTCTCAGATTCAGGACTGGGGAAAAGTTTTCTCTCAACCCTCCCAGTGCTCTCCAAGGGCCAGGCAAGCCTTTGGAAGCTTAGATTCATGGCAGGAAGTGCCATTGCTAACCTCTTATAACCCTGGGCAGTGGGGGTTCCCCTGGGAGGCGTTCTTTCTGTCTCCAAGTTCTGCAAAGCCAGCAATAGTTCAAAGTAAATCCATATTCTGAATCAAGGGCTGGTAATGTTGGATCCATTTATTGGGGGCTGGGGTACCAGGTAGCCCTTCCTCATAATTTATCAGTTTCATTAGAGTCACATTGCAGGGTAGAAGGTGCAAGGGAGCTCTTGAGCACCAGTAAATCCATGCACAGTGGGGTAAAGAATGTGACCTGTGTTTCACTTTTGTTTCTTACGTGGGGAAGGGAATGCGCAGAGGGAGGGGATTCAGGAACGTCAGGGAAGGAGGATGGCAGGAGTGAGTGGGACAGTCGGGGAGGTCCAGCTCATGGAATTTTAGGAGACTTCTTGAGAACATTAGTCGGAAACATACAGGAGTACACTAGGAAGTGTCTCTGGATTCCACAGCCACCGGGACCCAGGGTACCCTGTTTGACCTCCGCCTCCGTAACACTGTGTTTTGTACTCTCCCCGCTCTCCTTTATATACCAGTGTCTCCCAACCTGGGCTGCATCTTCTGAGGTGACTCTCAAAAACTTTTCAAAGTTACTGACAACTTGGTCTCACCTTCAGAGATTCTGGTTCAATGGGAATGGGCGGGTCTGGGCATTAGTATTTCTTAAGAGCCCCCCAAGTGGGGGGGTTAGTATTTCTTAAGGCATTAGTATTTCTTGAGAGCCCCCCTAATGTGCAACTGGGTTGAAATCCGAACTTTGTAGTTCTTGGGACTTCTTTACAACCTAATCGAGTGGCCAGTCTTCTGGAACCAGAGGAGCGCTTCACTCCGCAGATTCTCCCAAGTGGATCAACTTCAGATCACTTCAGCTCCTGCATAGATGCCAAGACTATAAAAGTAGAACCTGGGCTGGGCACAGTGGTTCGTGCTTGTAATGCCAGCACTTTGGGAGGCTGAGGCGGGCGGATCACCTGAGGTCAGGAGTTCGAGACCAGCCTGACCAATATGGTGAAACCCCATCTCTACTAAAAACACAAAAATTAGCCAGGCGTGGTGGCAGGTGCCTCTAATTCCAGCTACTTGGGAGGTTGAGGCAGAAGAATTTCTTGAACCCAGGAGGCAGAAGTTGCAGGGAGCCAAGACTGTGCTACTGTGCTCTAGCCTGGGCAACAGAGCAAGACTCCATCTCAGCAAAAAGAAAAAGTAGAAACTGGACTTCAAAACTTTTTTGTTTAATCTCCCTATGTGTAGCTCAGGTTAATGTGCTGAGGGAAGCTTTAGAAGACTACAAAGATGTTTCTCAATTCCTGAATTTCTTTACGTTTTTCTCTCCCAAGATCATCCTGAACGACCGAACCATCCACGTGAAGCATGACTTCACCTCCGGGGTGAATGTGGAGAATGCGGCCCACCCCTGCGTGAGGGCCCCTTGTGCCCATGGGGGCAGCTGCCGGCCCAGGAAGGAGGGCTATGACTGTGACTGCCCCTTGGGCTTTGAGGGGCTTCACTGCCAGAAAGGTACACTCAGGGGTCTGAGGCACAGCTCCCTGGAGGGAGTGGAGGGAATGGACAGTCCACTGGGGGACCACAACTCTTAATGGGAGAGTTGTAACAGTGGTACAGCCATACTGGTTATTTTGATCAATTATTTCAATACCTTATTGGATGATTATTTATAAACTACCATAATTCCTTAATAAGAATTAAATGCTGAAACACTTCTGCTAACAGTGGGTAAATAGGTTTCCCACCCTCTGCCCTGGCTCCTTCCTTGAGAATCGCTTCATGGTCTAGCAACCTAAGAGTTAACTCACAACAGAGTAGGAGTTTCCAGGAGTTTTGCACCTGAGCCACTCCTGGAGCCTGTCCTGATAGATGAATGTCTGTGCTTTGTAGACTGATAAATGTTTTGACCCCTGTCTGTGAGTGCTATATAAGAGAAACCTTGCCCAAATATGCAAAAACACAAATTATACATTAGTTGCTCCAAACTAAAGTATGCATAGCCTTCTGTATAGTGCTATTTTCTAAGCTATCAAATTGCTGTACCTCAGTTTTCTCAACTGTAAAATGGGAATAATAATAGCAGTGTTATTGTGTGTCTAACACAGAAGGTTATGGTGTTGACTAAATGAGACAATGTATCCAGAGCATTTAGAAGAGGGCCTGGTAAGTACTCAAGCAACCAACCAATACTGGTCATTATTATTCATGGTGAGAAAAATAAAATCCATTAGCAGGTGCTGTGGGCTACTCAGTTTCCATCTTGCCCTAGACTGAAAGCCAGGGCAGGTCATAGACCATGAGACCCTGCTGGACTTGCTTTTTGTACCTGCTTATGGGAAATGGAGGACATGGCCCTGGTATCTAGACTACGCTTCCCACATATATCCATCATGTTGGGCCTTCATTTTTCAGTCTCAATGTGGCCTCACCTGCCCAAGAACTTAAAAAAAAAACAAAAACCTGGAGGAAATAAAGCAATGAGCCTCTGAAGGAACGTGCACTGTCTGTTCTATTTCCAGGTTCTTGATTTTTATCAGAATTAGGGCTTAGAGGAAAACTATAAATTACAGGTAGTTATGTTGGTATATGGAATGGTAGGAGAAGTCATTCTACAGCAGTCTTGGAAAATATGAAAGATGCCAATTTGCCAATTGGAAGACTTAGTAGTATTTCTTACATTTAAATGAATTTTGAAATCTACATGGCAAATCATGAAATATATTTTTAACAAGGAAGAGTAATTGATTCATTTGTGAATTACCCTGATTATAATCCTAACAAGCAAATTGCTGTTTAGCTAATAGGTTGTACTTGCAGAGATTTAGCTGAAGAGTGGCTCATTCATTCAGAAAATTGGGTTTGGATTTCACACATCAGTGTTTGAATTTCCTAAGTCTCCAATTTTACCACAGGAGCCTCGAGTTCGTACCTGCCTTATATCTAACATTAATGATCAATATATAAATCCCAGACTTAGATGAACATTTAGCATTGGAAATGAAAGGGAGAAAGAAAGGATAATGTGTGACCTTGTTAGCCCTCATTTCCTGCTGCAGAACATCAGCCATAACAGAGATAAAGTGCTCACATTTATAGCTTTGTAACTATAGGTTCAGGTTCAGTGAGAAGCAAATCTTACCAGAAGGTTGGGGTAGATCCCAGTGAGCACCTGGATCTGGCAAGATCAGTGAGAATGGATGATAGCAGAGGGAACTGCAGGACACTCTTCCTGCAAAGCAGTCTAGATCCAGGATTGGAATCCAGATGAGCCAGTAGCCACCCTCCATGTTGAATCAGTATCTGATTGTGTTTTGAAATCAAGATACTGCTTCTGGGAAGATGGCATCCTTTGCAAATCCTAAGAAGGTTCATATATCAGAGGTATGGCCCCTATCCCATAATTTCCTCTCCCATCATAATGACTGGAGAGGATTAATGGGGCTCTGCAACAATTTTTCCAGGCTCCAGCAGGTACCAATTGTGGGCAGTTGCCATGCCAACTGCTATAATATTGGGGAAAGCATTTAGTCCCATTGTAAAGATTGGAAAGAAAAGGAAAAGAAATGGGCAATTATGTTGTTCCATAGAGATGCAAGAGAATACATAGAAAGTTTGGGGAAATCCTTGGTTTGAAAGACCAAGAATGGTGAGAAGCCATCTTTGGTTGTCAGAAAGAATCCTGTCTCATTCAGCAAGGTGATTTTTAGCCTCATATATTTCAAAGTTGGAGTTTTTTTCTGCCTCATAATCAAACCATGCTTTAAAAGCAAGAACCTGTTCCCAGTATCCCTACAGAAGTTAAACCAGTCCTTTTACATGGAGCAAAATGGTATAGAAATAACCAGCATCAGGCCTCATCCAGTCCATACCAAAGGGCCTTTCTCCATGAGGAATTTCATTTTCTGGATCGTCAGTGAGTCTGGGTCTTTTCAGCTGCATCAGATAGTGTGGCAAGTGAGTTCCACAAGGGCCGTAGTTGGACACTTGTTCCCACCTCTTGGTAACCCAGGAGAGCAGGGGCCAGAAACTCAGACAAATCCTGGAGCAGTTCCAGGCACTTAGGCTACATGGTGGTTTCAGGGTCCCCACTTTTCCCTGTGAGGCTGGAGGCAGGAACAGGAGAGTGTGACCCAGACTGAGGGGTGCACCAAACTCCCACTAAGCATCTGAGAGGCTCTTGGGATACCACAGGCTTCCTGTAGCAGTGGCCACTGCAGAAACTCAAACCTGTCTGTCCCACCTTCAAGACCCACCAGGACAGGAGAAGCTAGAGGTTCTTCTTACTCCCAGCCATGACTTCAGGTGCCAAGAAAAAACATAAGGTTTGACCTTGGGGGTCCTCTCGCCTTCCAATTGGTGGGTTTGACTTTCAAGCATCTTCCCCACCCTAAACCTCAGCACCCCATGCATTACTCCAATGCCTAGGCCCCCTTTTTTCTCAACAAGGCCTTCCCCATCAAAAATTACTTCCATATTTAGAGATTTCGTTCCTTTTTTCTTTACTTGCATCCAAGTGGACCCATCTTGTGTCCCAGTTCCTCAGAGCTTGTGTATCTAAGTAAGTTACTAAAATGTTCTAGAAGAATTTCACAAAGCACAGGTAAAAAACTAAGTTCTGAGGAATATTAATCGCTGCTTTGTACACACACACACACACACACACACACGCATTCACGTACACAAAATGGGAGGAGGCTTCTATGGTGAAATACATTTGGATAATACTGAGTAAACAGACAATTCTCTCTCTTCTGCAGAATTTCTCAGAGCCTTTGCTGTGCTCTGAGTGTCTAAGAGGTGAATGCAGGGCACAGATGTTTTCTCTGGGTTCTCTCAGTCAATAGTGGACAAGTCACCTGGGAAACTAAGCTTTGGCCCTTCCCTTCCCTGTTACTAGAAGAGCTTCAATTCAGACTGTGTAGGATCCCACAGGCCACTAGATGGCGGTGTTTCTCTATAGCAGGTGGCCCCGCACAAGAAAGCCAACAGCTGTTGAGACAAAGCTAGGCTTAGCGCATGTACTCATCAGGGGCGCACAGTCCTTAAGTATCCAATGCTGCCTGATCAATACTGACCTACCACACATGCAACACTTAGGGCATTTATGTTGGGTTTAGTTGAGTAACATCATGTTCCAGGGTCTGATTTGGGTGATTTTTTTGTTTTTGGTCCCAGTGTATATATAAAAAAAAGCTTCTGCAACTATAAGAAAACTCCGTATATAAACCACAAATTAATAAAACACATAAATCATGCATACTAAAGGGAATTTCTCTTTAATGTAATTTAATATATTAAATTTTATATCATTTAATGTATTGAAAATTAATATACTAAATTTTATATTTAATATTAATATATTAATATCTGATTTTAAATACTAAATTTATTAACAATATGTTAATATTTAATACTAAACATAAAATTTT